GTAATGCACTACCAAAACGCCCGTAACTAAGAAACAAATGCTAATTCGATGATGCCGGCTGGCACACTGATTCACTATGAATGTAGGCCGCACCCCCCAGCGGCAGAAGCTCGTACTACATCCGGTTCGCCCTCTATTGACACAGTCTGGAAACTTTCCGATCGCACCTCGTATGTGTTTGAGATTGGTAACACTGTTCTGTCTACTGTATTTTTACTTTAAATACCTGGAAGATAGGTGAAGAATGTAGTTTCAGAAATTGCTGTTTTTTGTGAATATCAGTTTGAACGTTGTTAATTTCTTGTTGTACAGGATTTTAGGACCTGCAGTTCGCGTGCTGTTGGAACGCTATCACTTGCAATCCAGCCGCGTAACTGCTACTGGCCATAAAGGGAAACTTCTTAAAGGAGATGTACTGAAATATATTGCAGACAATAAACTTAAACCAAAAGCGCCAAAGGAAGGTAATCGTATAAATGAGATGTTTTCTGATTTAATTTTAGTCCTGTTAAAAGCCCATTGATTTGAGGTCAGTTAATCCACAAGTAATAGCTCTTTTAAAATAAATGTGATTACAATAGATGATACAGAGCTAACCTCTAATATGTGACGTGTGAATTCATTAAATAATTTTTGCATGAAAATAATTTTGAGAATGCTGTTAACGTGATTTACCAAAACTCTGAACTCCGTAATATAATTTGAGAGCCAGGTAATCTGTCTGAACGCTAGTCGTAGGCAGCAGGAGAGAGAATTTTATTTGCGTGTGACCCTGTTATCACGTGTGTGACCAGTAGACGTCAAACAGTTGTGTAACTAACTTCATGGGGCAGACTCCTTCTCGAGAAGCTGATAATTACTCCACTAGTCAAGAAATTACCTGGCTTCTGTGGAACCAGAATGTTCATTACCATACTAACAAGAGTCTACCACTACTAGAATTTGTTGTGAATCAGATCTTTTTCATCAGTGTGCGACACAGATAATTATGATCCTTTGTTTAGTGCTTTTAAGGACAATGCAGGAACTTTGCCCTCAAATATTCTTGTTGATTGGCTAAGGTATAAATGCTCAATTCTGCAATCAGACCGTCATGACTGAAGGCAGGTGGTGCAGAAATATATATAAAAATGGTGTCTGCTTCACACTTGAAGTAATTTAATACTTTATACACCAACTTTGAAGCTGATTGAGTCATGAGGGCATAGAAGTGTCCAAAACTCAGCCACCATCATTCATGGCACCAGCGCAGGTCCCATGGTCATCGTCATACCCATAACCAAACTTCCTGTCACATTTTACCTACGGACAGAGAAATTCTGCTGTCTGTGTACAAATATATTGCCCTGATGATGGAGGGAGCAAGGACGTCTGAAACGTCGGTAAACTTCTACCAGACTACGCGGTGCAACAACCCAGAAGACATCCATCTTTGGACTCACCGCCGTGAAAACCTCAAATCCTACAAACGTGTGGGTTTGATGTGAATATTTATTGGACAACGAAGCTTGCGGATCAGATGCTTCTTTAGTAGACAGCACATAGCACTCGTGGCACAGAAACTGGCAAACTATTTCGGAAGCTTGTAGTTCCTGAAGGGTGCAAGAAGAAAGGTGTTTGATTGTGAGCTGGATTCATCTTGCTCAGGATAGGGTCCAGTGACTTGCTGTTGTGCGTTCCAAGAGGGGTAAAACAGATGTTGAAGTGGAAATTTTTTTTCTTTTTTCACAGATTTACGTAAGTACGAGGCGCGTCCCAAAAGTAAGTTTCCCACTCGTCCCACAGCTAGCAAACCTTATATTGCGCGAAGCGACTGTGCGTACGTGATAGAGCAATGACGTAGCATGGCGCATGCACTAACGGCACTTCCCGCGTTCTCACAGTAGCATCGTTGCAGCTGTTGAAGATGGAGGTTCTTATTCCAGCCCCCGCCGACTGTGAAGTGCGGTCAGTGATAACGCTAGGCCGCACACGACTCGACGGACAGCAAGTCTCCTGCAGAAGTTCAGCTGGGAGGTGTTTAATCATCCACCCTACAGCCCGGACCTCGCTCCCAGTGATTTCCATCTTTTCCTACACCTCAAGAAATTCCTGTCCGGTCAGCGTCAGCGTCAGCGTTTTGAGAATGACAGAGAGGCGGAGATGGCTGTCACACAGTGGTTCCAATCCCAGGCGGCAGACTTCTACGACACAGGTATTCAAAAGTTGGTCCCACGGTATGACAAATGTCTCAATTCCGGTGGCGAATATGTTGAAAAATAGCTAGACACTTGCTGTATCTGTTGCAATAAATATTTCCATGAAATTGTGTTTTGTTTCCGTAAACGGCCCCAGGGAAACTTACTTTTGGGACGCGCCTCGTACATCAATAATTTTCGTAGAGATGTATTATTATTATAATATTTTTGTCATATAGTTCCTCTACCAGCAGTGCCAAAAGCAGCAGCAGCAGCAGCAGCGAAGCCTCCAAAACCAAGTGTCCGAAGGCAAGACGGGGATGGATACACTGACATCGAGTTAACTGGAATAAGGAGAACAATCGCAAAGAGGCTCACCGAGTCCAAGGCTAGTATGCAGTTGCACTTCACCTTCTTATCGAGCATTAAAACTGTAGACCCGTAGTCGAGAAGAATATCCCCTCTTGTACCATGTTGTTCGCGATCATTAACATCCTTTATTCGCTACTCTTGCAGTTTATTAAGGGAAAAAAACACCTTTCAGTGATACTGGACCATCATCAGTGTCTCCTGCAAAATTTCAGTATATATAAGATTTGGTCACTTATATTATTATTGTTATTCATTTCTCAGCTTACGAAGTTCCTCAACTCTTGTTTGGGCACCAAATCATGGAATATGAACTGGGATGGGACGATGAAAATGAAGTGAATAGGACGGATTCAGAAGTGCAATCATTACTTATTTATATGTATCGTAATGACATTCATATGGATAAATCAAAGGAATTTGTTGCTCGATTACCACAGGACTCTCTCATGACCAGTGAATCCTTGATGCTTATATAGTCTCCTCACTTCACTTCAGGCACCTTTTAGTTCCTCATATTCAGGTCTAAATATTTTCCGCAGTCTGAGATTTCATGTTCTTACATCAGCGAATATAAAGATGGCCGTCGCCGTCTTCTGGGATGTTGCGTCGTTTAGCCTGGTAGAAGTTTGCTGATGTTTCAGAGGTCATTGCTGCCTCTATCATCAGGATTCACAGCGCAAACAACCCAGAAGATAGCCGTCTTCCTCAGTCTGTCTATTTTTTCAGGGTGAAAGACCAAGTTTCACACCCATACAAAATGATGTGATTATAATTTTGTATATTCTAATCTCTACATTTTTAGATCAGGACCAGACATTCCCTCAATTTCTTTGTGAATGAATTCTTGATTTGTTAATGTAATTAAAATTTTTTAATGTCATATTTTTACATTATGGTTTTGCTGTGCATGCAGTTGATGGGACGTGGACATACGCGTTGTAAGCCAGCATCGTTACTGGAGTCTTGTGTTTTTATTTCATGTTATTTATGTGTTTGCTGAATAAATTATTATTCTCAACACAGACCTGAAGCTTCATATTGGGATATAAAATATTTCTTGACTCAGTCTGTGTTAATATACGTGCGGTATTGAATGCGTTTTGATGGAATGAATATAAACAGTGAACTCGTAAGAAGTTGATGGGAAGCATTTATCACCAATTTAGGGTGTTAAATAAAACACTGAACCTAATCAGACATTCTGTTAATGGCTTAATTTCGACAGCTCTTGATTTTTCAGATCTTAAAATACAAATAGGCCTCACTTTGACTTGATTTCGCTGCTACCCTAGTAACTGCTCAATGGCAAAGTGTAGCGTAATTGTTGTTTTCAGGTGTGATATTTCGCTCATAACGATGCTGATTCTGTATATTTTGATATAAGGTCCAGACGTAAAAGATTTGAGGTTTTAACGGCGGTGAATTTGAAGATGACTTTCTTCTCGGTTGTTGCGCCATGTTTTCTGGTAGAATTTTACTGGCATATCAGGGGTCCTTGCTGGCGACACTCATCACCCTGATGATGGAGGCAGCAAGGACCTCTGAAACATCACTAAACTTCTACAAGACTACGCAGCATAACCCAGATGACAGCTATCTTCATGTTCTGATGTGTTTTAACTTTCCTTCTTCTTTCAGACAACCATACCACATGCATACGGAGTTTCTGATTGTACAATTGATAAACTTATCGCTTTGAGGAAACAGCTGAAGGAAGATGGAATAAAATTATCAGTCAATGACTTTGTGATCAAAGCAGTTGCATTGGCCCTACAACAGTGTCCTCAAGTCAATGCCCTTTATAAGGGGGAACAGGTAGGTTGTCATTATTAGTGTTACTGTCTGACATTCTCTGAACGTTCTTACGCTACACGTACCAAAACTTGTCTTTGGACACGACTACGACCCAGTGCCGTGCAGTTCACTTTCGAGTCATTCTGCATGAAATCAACTCGTCGAAGAGATGTTTCCAACCCGACGCCCTCAGCTCCGAATGGTTTTTTGTTAGAATGTATTCCCAGTGGCGATAAGCGTCTCTGCCACATTTTACTGCTCATGGCCACTAGATTTTTGAGAATTTGCTGAAGAAACTAATTTTTTGGGTACAAGTTGTCTTACAAAAAGTGGCATAACTTCGGCCCCAGTTGAGATACAGAGCTCATTCTGTGCTTATTTAAAAGATAATAAGATGCCCTTGTCGTCTGTGCCAGATGGTCTGGTAGAAGTTCACTCATTTTTGATAGGTGCTTGCTGCCGCCATCATCTGGGCAGTGAGTTTTCCCCCCCACTGTGGCTCTACAGCCCCCATGGGCCTTGGCCTCCTCGCATGTGGGAGGTTACTTGATCTATTTAGACGTTTGGTCGGACTCCTTGAATGAGTGATCATCTCGTCACAAGGCCTCTGCCTGTACGCAGGAGAGCAGAATGCAGAAAGACGTGGACAAACATGCCTTAAGTGGGTTTTGAACTCATGGTCCCAGTGTCCAAGCGCACGAGACATACGCCTCAGACAGCACGGCCAATGTGACCGGCCTGGGCAGTGAGTTATCACCCTTAATTTCATGTTCACTAATTAGTACTCAATATCACAGTGAAGCTTCTGTATCAGAAATGAGTCATACTTCTGTGACACCTTTGTCAGTTGACGAATATCAATATTAATCGCCACTGATTTCAGAAAACACTTTTATCCAGTGGTGGCTTTGAAAATATCCTCCCATTTAATTCTGGCATTGACTTCTAGCAAAATATTCATGTGGTATCTAAAAAATGACCACATATGTATTCTCAGCCGTCATGTATCCTGCCCCTTTCGTCATCTTTATCTCCAAGTGGGTACTGCACGCACACACCATTAACCCCAGACGACATGATGTCTGTGATGTCACCCTGTTGACGGAGGCAGCAAGCACCTCTGAAACGTCGGAAAACTTTTACCAGACTCTGTGGCGCAACAACCCAGAAGACAGCCATCTTCATACCTGGTTCCCCTTTTTGAGACAAGTTGATTTAATGATTATTCTTCCAGTTTATGAACAGACTACAGGCAGTTACATAAACATATTTATGATATTTAATTTTTTTTGTGTTGACGTGATCGTTGCAGGTAGTACATCCAGCCGATATTGACGTTTCTGTGGCAGTAGCTACAGAGAATGGGCTCATAACGCCCATCGTGAAAGCAGCTGATGCAAAGGGTCTTGAAGAGATTTCAGCAACAGTTCAGGATTTAGCTAAGAAGGCCCGAGACGGAAAATTACAACCTCATGAATTTCAAGGCGGCACTTTTACGTAAGAATTCAGATATTTTACATGTAAACACTGATTTCAGTCTTAAGTAACCGTGGTCCAAAAAGCATTTATGTTTAGCCTCTGTAGGCTGAAAAGGGACGTGTATGCCCTGAACATGGACATGCAAGTGGCTGAAAGGGAGACATGCATTTGAAAAATAGGACACTTTTATGTTTGATGTGCTTCAATCAAATCACCCGTCAACTGTGTCTAAATATCACCCCGTATCCAGGTTAAATTTATTTCAGTGAATATTCTGCAGTAATTCCCGTCAACTCGGCACGTACGTCTTGCAGGAGCTCAACACAGCATTTTCTAAGTTTGAAAATTGTTATATAAATCGTGAGAGATCAATGTATTATGCGTTACTGCGTACAAAGCGTGACCACCTTTATCATGTCATTGCTGCTTTTGTTGTTGTCATTGTACAAGTGTCAAAGTCACATAATTTGTAGATCTGTTATCAATTGCTAGGTGGGGTTGGTTGCTACTACCACCAAGATCTGCACCGGCGACGGCTCCAGGCGGGCTCGCGCCCTGACCCTTCGGGGGGGTTGGTTGCATTTTAAAATCTTGAGTAAGAAACTAAACCAACCCCCCCGAATGGGGGGTTAGTTTAGTGTCTTACTCAAGTCATTTGTTTACTCGGCATTGTTGTGTTGGTAGAACAGTGCCGAGTAAACAAATATAACGTAACATTGTTTGATGACGTCATTTTTTGATAGACGACAAATCACGAATTTTTATAGTAGATAACGGAAGACATCCCTATCTGTACTCAGTAGTTAACTGCTCAAAGACGGTTTCTTCAATAATCTTATTTTCTGGATTTTCCCGAGGGATCAGATAGAGGCCGAGCGAGAAGTGCTGGCACTAGCGCAAAGGACTTGTTTTTTTGGTCGATTGAGGTGGACCCGTCCGAAGCACGCGCTAGAGGGGTGTCAGCTTCACTTGGTTTGTAGCTTTAGCTGTCTTTAGATCGATGTGTCACCGCAGATGAGGCTGTGCAACTCCCAGTACTAATGAACTCCCCTCTCTCGCCATACACATCGCGCATTTAGGTGCCATCACTACTTGCGCGAACTAAAACAGAATTCTCAAGCAAACCATGTTGTATCTTCCTTAGTGGGCTGTCATGTCACGTGCAGAATGACTGTAGTATTGAAGTTCAGGGTGCCCAAGAAGCATTTGAGTTCATGATCTCAGCATTTCAAAAGCCCGAGATTCTATGCACCTTTAACTGCAGAAAAGGGCACATAAAGATAGTTCCATTATTTTTGCAAATTTATTGATTCTATTAATGGCCAAAACCAAGCTGTTTTAATTTTTATTTCTGTATTTTGCCGCACCAGTCAGTGATAATTTAGAGGATTCTCTCAGAACTTAACGTTTTAGAAATTGAGAGTATTTCTTATTTTCTTGCTTTAAAAATACATTTTAAATGTAATTTTGCATAGGGTGGCAGAAGCCATATATTTATTTAACAATGATATTTTGTTTCATGAAGGGTGTCAAACCTCGGAATGTATGGTGTGGATGAGTTCAGTGCCATTATAAACCCACCACAGTGTGGGATTTTAGCAGTTGGAGGAAGTCGGCTTGTTCTAGGTAAGAAGCAAAAGTATTTATTCCTTAAATTTAAGTTTGATTAATCTCTAGTGTCATCAGTTGTTCTGCGTTCAGTTAATTTTTTCTAATACACGTACCTTTCGGAGAATATGGCTGTCTTCTGGGTTGTTGCATCGTGTAGTCTTGTAAAAGTTTCCTGACATTTCGGAGGTCCTTGATGCCTCCATCATCAGGGCTATGAGCTCTGAAACGTCGGTAAACTTCTACCAGAGTACACGACGCAACAACCCAGACTCACCATGATGTTTTAATCTGACTAGTACTTAGGGAAAATTAAAAAATCTGATGCGGCTTATGAATGAGTTGGTTTATTTGTTATTTTCTTATTAAAATTCAGGTGTGACACATGGCTTATATTCGTGTAAGTATGGTACTCATAAAAAACATGAAGTAATGATATTTCCACTTAATTTTGTAAGTTTGAATAGATTTCAGGAGATCTTCAGTTTCCAGTTACTAAAATACCTTCATTTCTCTCACTGACCAAAATCTTCAGCCTGCATTTTGTGCTGTTTTTATAATTACTTCTTCTAACAGTGTGTGATAATGAGATTTTAACTCTAGAGGTAAAACTCGTATGTATTATGGTAAGATATGTTATATAAAATTTCATTAGGTAATTTTAAGCAGAGTCAAAAAGTCAGGTGTCCTAATTGCATTAATAATCTCATCTGCTGGATGTTGTATGCATGAGTAGTCCATACTTTTGATGCCAAAATTTTATACAAAAAGTGACAGAGGTGTAGACCACTGGCTGTGATAGCGTGGCTTTTGAACCAGTGATTACCTTGGGGTCAGTATGTTTCAAAAATTTGGCTTCATGTACGAGGCACGTCCACAAAGTAAGTTTCCCTGGGGCCGTTTACAGAAACAAAACACAATTTCATGGAAATATTTATTGCAACAGATACAGCAAGTGTCCAGCTATTTTTCAACACATTAGCCACCGGAATTGAGACATTTATCATACCGTGGGACCAACTTTTGAATACCTGGG